CGTTCGAATGCATGCCGGATCGTGAGCACGCAGCGCGGTCGATGTGTTCTTTAAAAAAAAAAAAACTTAATGCTGCAGCCCCATCCTGGTAACAGTCGATTGTGTTCTATTCGTGATATTATTACTAATATTTACCATACACTTCCCCCTCCCCCCCCTCTCTCCCCCACCCCCCCCTTGCCTAGGAAAGTTGCATCCTAAAATTTGTTCTACAAGGTACGTACCTTGTATTCGAATACAAGGTACCCTGTACCTTGTATTCGTATACAAGATACGTACCTTGTTTTCAGGTTAAGACGGTAGGGAATACTCGCAATCGGACTTTCAGGCATGTATCCGACAGCAATAGTGGCCCGATTCTGTGAAGAAGAATACAAGTACGCGTATGGCCTTAGATATGAATTCTGGAGATAGTACGAGATACCCAGTAGCATAACACCACGACCACTACCGTCTTCCCCCTAATAGAATGTACAGTCATCATAGCTGTATTTTGCGCGAGCTTTCAGTCTGTCTGGACTCTGGACACAGTGATGAAAAATAAATAAATTGCCGCACGACTTTCCTGATACAGTCCTCCAAATTCCGGCAGTTCTCTCTGCTTGATTAGTACAAGCAAGGTTGATCACCGTGTTGACCCAAATAGAACGCCTGGTCATTATAGCTGTATTTGGCACAAGTTCCAGTCTTTATACAGTGATAATGACCAGGTGTTCTATTCGGGGCCAGATGGTAGCATGGACCCCTGCATAAGGGTGACACGTACAAATCAAGAAACGGTTCAGATTAGTGGGAAAAGGCCCAAAAAAAAAAAAAAAAAGGGGAAATGACATCGATTACGCGGCATCCGGGGTACCAACAACGATGACAGGAAAAAAAAAAGAGTTTGAGGGAGAGACATTATGTGGACTGGGATTAAGGGATTTTCCTGTACAACAGTGTGAAATCAAAACCAGGTCTGTTTTCACTCCGAGGTCGGGGGTTCAAGCCCTGTGTTGCACATTTCATGCGCAGGGATGTATGGCTTTCATTCATGGGCTTAGGGGTTAGGGTTTAGCAACGAAATGGAATTGCAGATTGCCCACTTTCGTGAATGTATCGGACTGCAGTTACACCCACCACAACTGGATGCATCTGACTGCAATCACGTCCAGAGCTCATTACAAAAAGAGGCCCACGTTAGTGTGAGTATGACCTTACTAAAGTCTAGTTTTGCTCTTATACATATATATCGTCAAATAGAACTGCCCGGTAAACCGTAGGCAGAGAGGGAGAAGAGGACAACAAACGAGGGGCTGTGACAAACTGTTTCGTCGGAGTTTCA